GAATGTGTAAAATCTGACTCAGACAACGCAAACAGGCGCGGTGAGGAATGAGCGATGTCTATGTTTCCGTACGGATGATTAGAGAGAGAACTCTTGGAATGCCAGCCCAGGGGATGACATTGGCGAGCAACATGAGTTGCGTACCCTGGGGGGGGATTGGACTAGAATGTGGCATCAACATTGAAGGCAAATTTTTTTGGGGAGGACGCAATGAATGTCCAGCGCGTGAGAAGGAGAGCTGGCTAGAGACAGAATAAGAAGAAGCTGTGAAGGAAGCCGTGAGCAGTATGGTTGGGGCAACAAGGACGTGATGTGCAATTGTGTATGTACTGTGTGCTGAACTTCTTTCGCACCGAACGTAAGGCAACCGTGCTGATCGGAGGTGCGGGGCAAGGCCAACAAACATACCGTCGCACCTACAGCATTGGCCATGACGTCCCCTTGGCCTCAATGCACTGAGATAGCGTGGTCACACGTGGCTGCGTCTCTGCGCAGGGCAATCCGTGCGGTTGTGCGACTTATTGCAGTGGCTTTCTTCAGTTCCACCCGCCCGTTGCGGGCTTTCAGCAACTCGCGCGGTCATTCAGAATCTGGTGGGACAGCTCCACGGGTAAACGAAGTCAAGGAGTAGACATGACGTCTTAATTCACGTATCCGTCTCGACTTAAACAAAAATAAAAATGCGTAAAAGTATTTCCCACAAAACCCCATCAGCCGCACGGCCTTCTGGGAGTGCGTAACTTTCAGCCGCATTGTTTCAAGACGAGCAACACTTCTGGACCGATTACGACACGCAGCGTCTCATCGGCAGAGCCAGGCCCACTTTGAATCAATTCTGGTTAACTGCTGATCTAGCAGGCAAAAACTTGCAGGCGCTACGTAATCCAGGCTTGTATAGCGGTTGGGGTATGACACATCACACGTAATCAAGATGACTGCCTCCACTTACTGCAAAATTGTTGGCGCCATCCAAAAAGGGCAGTGGCTCACGCATGACATCGTGCAGCCACTGTGTAATCCCTGAATTTTAGTGTGTCTACTTTTTGCGGGATGGATTGGCTCCCTGCCCATTCCTCTTGACAAATTATTGCCCACTGCTTTCACGAATTGGTTTTGGGATAGAACGGGTCCTGGATAAAACGTAAACATCTCGAACTAACACAACGCCAAACGAATCCTCCCTTCGGCAAATTGGGATCGCTGATGTCCAGTGCTGTTTTGCAGTCATAATGTCATTTATCAGTGTCTCAGAATTATCATCTGGTAATACAACATGTAAGTTTTTTATGTGATTTATAAATGGAGCAAATATTCCCCTAACACTTACATTTCCAGCAAGTCATATGTGTGGAAATAATGATCACGATATGATGATGTATTTAGCTACAAAAAAGATGACACGATTATCGAGGATCGTATACCGTACGAAGCAAGTGTCGCTGTATCATGGCAACCCTTGACGAGACTATACAATAATAACAATTGACACAAATCCATCTAAGCCAGTTCAAGTCTCCTCTCGTAAACCACGTGACTTCCGTGTGGCCACCCCCACTCTGAATCCCTCCCCTCTCCCTGCCACTGCCCCCTGTGAGAACAGACGCCGCTCCTCTTCTGTGCAGCTCACTTCTGCTCGCTCCTTCCCTCTTCTCCCTCTCTTCCCTCCCTTCTCATCATCATCACCACCACCACCCTCTCATCCCCGACATATCGGCACCATCGAACTTTTGGCTAACCATCGAACAAAGGCGGTCACTGCATTGCGCACTTTCAGACGCGATTCTACGGCTGTCTGGAACGCTCTTCCCTTTTCATATCAGGAAGCTACTGGAGCAATGCACTTTTAAATCATTTGGATTGAAAACTCATTCCTTTAAAACCGCTTTTTGTGTTTACTTTGTTGTCCTTCCCCCGCACCTCCGATGGGCCCTGTTGCCCGGCACTCATCATCTTCTCTTCCTCCTGCCACTCATCTTGAGCCGAGCCCTCCTCTCTGTCTGTCTTGGGGACCTACGCCCCAGCCTCCCTTCCCTCTCCCGCGCATCTTTCCCCCCGGTCTGCTGCCCTATTGGGCAACTGGCTCTACTCCCCTTTCCGTGGTGGTGCTACGGGTCACGCTGCTCTATACACCACTGTGAGCGTCTTAACTTTGGGGCCATAGGAAACAGGGATGGACCCGCAGGAGCACCACAAATAAACTAAACTTTTTTTTTACCAGGTAAGACCCACTGAGCTTTCCATCACTCTTTCAGAAGCGACCTGGCCGCAAATGATAGCCCAACGAAGTGGGCTTATCGTGTTGGAATTTACAGCAGCCGAATACTCTAAACGCGTGATGTTGATTCTAAATGTGGAGGGGAAAAAACGGAGGACCAGGAGGAAAATCCACGTGACCACGACCAGAGATACACACAAACTCCAAATATACATGCGTCATGGTTGGAATCGAACCAATGACATCCTGTAGTTAACATCTCGCCACCGTTTCGCCCTAATGCGTGTGTGCATCGTAAAGTTGTACTTGAAAATATACAACTTTCATGCCGGTTTGTTGGACTTTAATGTCCCAATGTAATGTACAAAAAATGCCAATTTTCCTTCGAACAGCTGCACTCATTTGACAGTGCACTTTCGGCGCATTCGGGCTTGGTTGAGTTAAACGGCAGTTTTTTTTTTGGAGGGTCAAAGTGAAGACGTATTTTGTCTACATTTTGAATGTCGTGCAGTTTGAAAGAAGCGCGCCTTGTAACATCAAAGGGTGCATCGTGGCATCTTACCCGACAGGTGTTTGTGATGAAGATGTTACAGACAGGAAATAGCAGGCACTTAATGGATATGAGAGTCTCAATGCAATTTCTTGAATATTATTGAATTCAGCAAGCATGGCTTTACTGGTTCAAAAAGGAAGATTACCCGACTCAGACACCCAAGCATACACAGATACACACAAGTACAGTCTCCAAACCTTGTTATCAACTACATGATCCCGTCTTGAAAACTCACCTCTTTACGTTACGCCCTCTTTCTCCCCGTTCACCCTGGTTCTCTTTATTTCCTCCTTTTCACGCAACAGCGCATTGGGATCTATGGATGAAATGCGCCTTTAAATGTAGATTAGTATTATTATCATTAACATATCAGCGGAAAAAAACAGGCTTTCTCGGCAATGATCTACAGTGTGCGAGAGGGAGCTGTCCAATTATAAAAATTAATGTTTTATGTTAAGGCCCACTGAGCTATAGCGCTCTTTTTCAGAAGCAACTTGGGTCTCAAATGATGGCTCAAAGAAGTGGTTTATATCACGTAGACATTTTATAGCAGCAAAAATACTCTCAACGCGTGATGCTGTGAAGGGACAAACCGGAGGACCCGGAGAACCATCCACGCGACCACGGGGAGACAGAGACACAAACTCCAAATATACAGCAGCAGGCGTCAGGGTCGGGAACGAACGCACGACCTCCTACATTCTAGGCGAGGGAGATAACATCTCCTAACCACCGTGGCGCCCCCTTATGCTTTCCCTGCATTGGCACAGCGCATTGCGCGTCGCCTCTATTGCTGTCTTACCAACACAAGGAGGTGTTGGTAAGACACAACCAACTGATTGTGCCTTGCAATGAATGAACCAGGCAACCCACAATGCACTGGGCCGAACAATAAAAAGCCTGCGGGCAGCAGCAGAACCTCGGTGCTTCCACCGCTGCATGGCGGTGAAGATTGTTGGCAAGGCCAACCCAGCGGCGTCGGCGTTGTGAGCTCTGTGAACATCTGGCACGTTTCGATGCACGGAAGCCACTGGAAGCTATGGACTTTTACATCATCTAGATTGATGAACTCATTTCTTGAGAACTGATTTTTGTGTTTGGACTGAAGACCCCGTAGTTTTATCGACAACAAATTAAATACCTACAGTAATTTAATATTTAGATCGGTCATTTTATACCGTATGTTGACTTATTATCATTGAATATAAGGATATCCTAAGTTTATTAAATATTGTACTGTACCTTGCCTAATATAAAACGTATAAGAGAAATAAAAAAGTAGCAACAATTTTGATGCCATCGGTAGGTCGGAAAGAGTTGCATTACATTCTGCATTGCGATGCTCACGATTTATTCACAAAATAGGTCAAGCAGGCAATGCATGTATCTCCTTTAATTCATGCATCTCTCTCCACACAAACATACATATTGTGTCAGTTTAACACGTAGGCTTTCGCGACCAATATCATCCATAATAAAACAATTTTGGGGGTTAGATCGCGTAAATATATAACGATACATTTACATTAACGAGATCTAACCCAAAAAAAAAACCTGTATTATGGATATATATTGTGTCTGTTTACACATCCGATGGGTTGCGTCGAAACGAAGTGAATGTTTCTTGTGGAAAGAGACGATGAGGAAGAGGGCTGCCCACGGTCGCCCTCGTCACTCGCGATCACCGCAGCGACGCTCTCACGACCGCCCTCGTCACCCACGGGCGACATCGCTTTGTCTGCTGACCACGTGGGCCCTGTTCGCATCCCGCTGCCGCGTGCACTGCCGCCTCCTAGCGGCCACCCTCGCCTCTACCTCGCCCCCCTAGCCTCGTAGCCACGCCCCGAGCATCGTAGTCGCGCCCCCGCTTTTGGAGCGCCCCCTCCCCAGCCTCGTAGTCCCCGCCCATAACACCCAGAGCCCCGCCCCATGGTGCTGTAGCCCCCGCCCTTGGCTTTGGAGCGTCCCCAGCGCGGTGGCTCCGCCCCTATGCCTGTAGCACCGCCCACCAACCCTGCAGCCCCGCCCCACACCTCGGCAGCCCCGCCATCAACCCCGCCTCAGACCCTGAAGCCCCGCCTCAAGCGATGTAGCCCCCCGCCTTCCGGCTTTGTTGTCCCCGATAATTAGCCCAGCCCCCTGCCCGTAGCCCCGCCTTTAGCACATTGCCCCCCCCTCCTCAGAGCAGTGACCCCACCCTCCAGAGCAGTGGCCCCGCCTCTCAACAGCCCTGTAGCCCCGCCCTCGTAGCTGTGGCCCCGCCCCCGGTGAAGCCGACTCCTGACCGTGCAGACAGAGGGAGCAGCTACTGCTGCTGCACCGCCGGAGAAGAATCGGCGGGGGGTTGATGGTGGTGGCGGTGTCGGTGAGGAGCGTGGCGAGCGCGCTGCTGGTGATGCTGTGGAGTGAGGGAGTTTCCGCCCACGATGGAGGTGAGTCGCGTCCCCGGTGCGCTGCGTCTTGTAGCGAATGGCCGTTGTGGGCGCGTGAACGCACCGCACGAACAACAATTGGCACGCACAGCAAGTGAACACCGCGTGTGAGCGAGCGAGCGAGTGCAAGGGACGAATACATTCTGTTCCGGGGGCCGACACAATGAGCGCCACTCTCGGACAGCAACAGGAGTCCTGACTTCTCCTTCCCGATGGAGGTACTTGGCCTCTTCCATGGGAATGTGGAATTGCCACCAAATGGCTCGGGGCCGAGAGTGCGGGTGACGAGCAAAGTTGACGCTTCGAGCCCAGCCGGGGCCGGGGGGTGGCGGGCTGCTGGCTCGGCGTTGTTCCCTGTGGCTGGAAGCGCTCGATTGAATGTTCCCCAGACGAGTGGGGGTCCAGGGAGCGTGGGGGGAGACTGGTCCTAGTGGGGGGCGAGGGAGCGTGGGGGGAGACTGGTCCTAGTGGGGGGCCAGGGAGCGTGGGGGGGGGGAGACTGTGGTCCTAGTGGGGGGCCAGGGAGCGTGGGGGGGGGGGAGACTGTGGTCCTAGTGGGGGGCCAGGGAGCGTGGGGAGAGACTGGTCCTAGTGGGGGGCGAGGGAGCGTGGGGGGGAGACTGGTCCTAGTGGGGGGCCAGGGAGCGTGGGGGGAGACTGGTCCTAGTGGGGGGCCAGGGAGCGTGGGGGGAGACTGGTCCTAGTGGGGGGCCAGGCAGCGTGGGGGGGGGGAGACTGTGGTCCTAGTGGGGGGCCAGGGAGCGTGGGGAGAGACTGGTCCTAGTGGGGGGCGAGGGAGCGTGGGGGGAGACTGTGGTCCCAGTGGGGGCGAGGGAGCGTGGGGGGAGACTGTGGTCCTAGTGGGGGGCCAGGGAGCGTGGGGGGAGACTGTGGTCCTAGTGGGGGGCGAGGGAGCGTGGGGGAGACTGTGGTCCTAGTGGGGGGCGAGGGAGCGTGGGGGGGAGACTGGTCCTAGTGGGGGGCGAGGCGCGTGGGGGGGACTGGTCCTAGTGGGGGGCGAGGGAGCGTGGGGGAGACTGGTCCTAGTGGGGGGCCAGGGAGCGTGGGGGGGGAGACTGTGGTCCCAGTGGGGGGGGGACTGGTCCCAGGGGGTTCCCCTGGCGCGACACTCGGGGGGGGGGGAGTGGGGGACGACGCGATGTGTGGTGGGACCGCTCCTTCTCTCCCTCCCTCTCTCTCTCTTCCACTTGGAACAGCATCTGTTTATTTAGTTGGACTGGAGGGTGAATGCCGATGAGCTGTTAAGCTCTATTTCACAGATGTCCAGTAGGTGTGGGTCAGAACGTGACAACACACAAGCTACACAAACAAAAAAACACGATGGGAGTGCAAAGTTCAGGATATGTAAACAAAGCACTTACAACATATTCAAATTAAACTTAACTATATATTGTTTTATTGTATCTTACCAGGTAAAGTCCCACTGAGCTTCTAGCTTCCTTTACTTTAGCGACCTGGCCACGAATGGTTGTCGCTCATCGAAGGTTCGACGGCTCGGGAACTCGCCCTCTCCCAGGACTCTCTTAACCTTCCCCCGAGGACTCGAACCGGCACGCACTCCCAGCCTGACGCAGATCCCGACCGTGCACGTCCAGTGCGCCCCGAGCTGCATTGCCTTCCAGTTGCCGAACGAACACTTCGTTAATAGGGTCGCGCTCATTACGCACAAAGCGCTCGCCTCAAACAAGTGAACCGCGCGACCTCGCTGATCTCGTCAAGGACAATAAACCATCGCCACGCCAACTGCGCGCATCCTCGCGGCAGCGGCGGCCTTTGGCTGGCCATCGAACCAAAGTCGGCGTCGCGCTCTCTCGGACGCGCTTCTGTGGCCGTCTGGAACCTTCCGATATTGGGAAGCCGCTGCTGCTATGCCCTTTTAAATCTAAATTGAAAACTCATTACTTTTGAACTGCATTTTGTGTTGAGTTTTCATTTGACCACACCTCCGGATTAGCAGGGTTGGCTGCGTACGGCGCGGAAGAAGTTCCAACGTACGTACATAACCCAGGCCTACCGCTCGTACTCAGCCAGGCCTCCGAACCAGATGCAGGAGTCCAACCCTCAGGGAAAGGACTCTCTCTCTCGCTCTCTCTCCGTCACCCAGGAGACTGCACTGAGCATGTGGACAGTCGAGCATGCTTTGCTTGGCTCCCATCCACGCGCGACTCGCCAACGCGTCACTGCAGAGTGGACAGGCAGTCGTGAAGGCCGACCCGTAGCCACTTAGGATGATGATGATGGCTCGTTGTTTAGCGTCACAACACGTTGCCTGTGTGTGTACAGCTCTTTGGCCAGTCTACTTCGTGGCGGGCAGTCGTCTTCGTGTGGCCGACGTTGATGTTGAGCAACAACTGGAATCCCACACCGAGGTTGCTGAGCCAGACGATTTCGTCAGCAGCATCAGCAGCAGCAGCGAAGTTGTGCATCGCTGTTAACGTACGTTTGAGTCCGTTACATGTTCCGTATTCCATTCTGGTTGACCACAGTGACCGCGCACTGGATATATATATTTTTAATGCATTTTGTGCTAAAAATAATGATGAAACGAAGCGAAAACTAAACAAAAAATACTTTACCAGGAGAGGCCCACTGAGCGATCTGGCCACACATGATAGCTCAATGAAGTGGCTTATCACGTGGAAAATTTATGGCTGCCAAATAGTCTGAACGCATGATGATGATTCAAAATTTGGAGGGACAAACTGGAGCACACGCAACCGCGGGGAGAGACACACAAACTCCAAATATACAGCAGCAGGCGTCAGGGTCGGGAACGAACCCACGACCCCCTGTATACCAGGCGAGGTAGTTAACATCTCCTAGCCACCGTGGCGAGTATCCATCTAAGGAATGGAACAAATCTTGAGAATACGTCCACTCATGGGATATGGAGCGATGAAACCAGTTCCATACGCAGGTGCTGGGTGGATTGTCACATCGTAGGATGGTGAGAGGGTCACTTGGGAGGGTAGTACAAGGTCTCGTCTGCTTTGCGTGCATGTTGAACCTTTTTCGCACCGTACGTAGCCAACCATCCTCATCGGAGGTGTGGGGGAAGGACAACAAACTAAACACAAAAATCAGTTCTAAAGAAATGAGTTTGTCAATCTAGATGATGATTTAACAGTGCATAGCTCCAACGGCTTCCTGATATCGGAAGGAAGGGCGTCCCAGACGGCGGCAGAAACGCGTCTGAAAGCGCAGCGCGGTGGTTATCCTAAAAACCCCGCAGCAAATGTTACCGCGTGAAGGTCTTCACAATGGGGACGGCATCATATGGGGCAGGGTGTCTCAAAGTGTGCCAGCCCGTCGCGACCCCACATTTCCACGTTTGCCCGTTCAGATCACGATTACAGATCGTGCGTGTGTGTGCGTTTCTCACAACGTGGGGGAGCAGTGGCGGGTCTCCACGAACCCGGTGACCCGAGTTCGATTCACGCTCACGGGCAACATCGGTGAATAATTATCCGAACCGGTCCTAGGCCTCTCCATTGTCCACTCGGCCTATAAAATGAGTACCTGGTGCGGTGTGTAAACATCAGCATCGGGAGACAGAGGCGGTCGGGCGTGGTGCTGGCCATCCACCCACTTCGTGTTCCGTGCCGGTCTTCATAGGTGCTCGCTAACGGCACTTGCCCCGACAGTCTGTTCAAGGCCGTCTGGGGGACCTTTGTCTTAATTGGAATGTGTGCGCACCTGCTTCACGTGGGAAGTGTTTACCAATCATCAGGGGCGAAAAGCGTGCCCAAACTTGAAAGTCATTGTTAGCATAGAGTCGGACGGTAGTAAGTTCGGGAGGGCAAAAAAAAAACTGGTTTCGTGAGACCATCAATAACTTTGGTAATAATCGACCCAATACAGGGTGTTTGGCCTACTTTTCGTCCGCTGTGGCTTGTGTTTTGTGTTACGGCTGAATGCATGTTTTGGTGGTGCTGCTGCTGCTGCTACGTTGGTAGTTTATTCGTCAGTAACAACACCGTGTGACCTTGTGGGCAATTATAAGGCGTTACACTCGATACAATTTCGCCTATACGTTTCTAAAGGAAGAACTATAGCCGGCAACGTTTCGGGCAATCGCCCCTCATGCATCTATGAAGAAGGTCCATTGCCTGAACAAAAAAACGTCGCCTATTATATATAGTGTTTCCTTTTAAGGCCACACACGGTATTATTAACGATATCGGAGCAGGTAGTGCGTGCCGGTTCGAAGTAAAAGTACACCATATGCCTCGTGGGGGCCGTCCATAAATGACGTCACGCACCTGGGGGGGGGGGGGGGTCAGCCATTTGTGACGATGTGTGACGAGGAGGGGTTTGAGAAATGTGACGTCACATCAAAATGCGCAACTTTAAATAAATATAGACAACACGCTCTACTTAAATTTAGATTTAAAGCTTTCGTTACTGCAGGGATTCATATTCTTGGTTCTTTCGTCGCTAAAGTCACGTAGAAGGGAAACAATAAAGTAATACAAATATAAAACAATAGAATTCTCACGTTCTACTTAATTAAATAGACTTTTTCATAAATGTTTTCTCCTACAACATCAGAGTGCAGCGCCACATTAAATACGCAACTACAATGACAATAGTTTAAAGCGATTAGAAGCATGTTTTATTTCGGGGGGGCAGAGCTTTGTGACGTCATATTTGAGGGGGGGGGTGGGGTCTGACTTTTGTGACGCCGTGTGACGAGGGGGGGGGGGTCAAAAATCGTCCAACATCGTGTGACGTCATTTATGGACGGCCCCGTAATCCTTGCACACACTGTACAACAATTATAACCACCGTTGCTCATGGGCGGGAAACGAAGTGTTATCTTGAATGGAAATGATTCCTATCAAGGGGGGTGGGGTGGGGGGGGGGTGTGCACTTTTACCGAGTCACATTTAGAATGACCTCCGCCAGCGCGCAGTACTTGTGAACACATTGAGTTTGTGCCAGGCCGAGTTGGTGGTGACTGGCAGCCCAGCTGAATG